CTGGTGTTTTACCCCCTTGAGCCATACCTCCAGCCCAGCTTTTTGCTGGTTTTTAGAGATAGTGTCTCTTGGACTTTTCGGCCCAGACTGGTTGCTAACAACTTTCCTCTAGATCTCAAACGCTTGAGTAGCTAGGATTATAGGCGTGAGCTACCAGCACCCAGCACCCAGCTCTTCCTACCCCTTTTAAAGATCATACTCAAGGTTTGTCACTAAATAAAAACTTTTCAAAATAGTCAATAAATATGAAATCACCATGTTTGTTAGATAATAAAAGTTAAAGTCTGGCTCACAATCCCAGCTATTCCAGATGCACAGATGAGGAGGACTGAGATTCAAAACTAGCTAGGAGAACAAGTTCCTGAGACTCCCACCTCAACAAACATGCGCATGGTGGTATATGCTAGCGATTCCAGCTACTCAGGAAGCAAAGGTAGATGGGCCACAGTTTCAGGTAGCTCCAAGCAAAAACTTGAGACCCTATTTAAAAAAAAACAAAACTAGGGGAGGTTGCCTAAGAACCTTGTCCTAAATTCAAAGCACATTAAGAAAGCAACTTTTTAATATTATACTAAAATATACATAACATAAACTATTACTTTTTATTTTTTTGTCGGTCATGGGGCTTGAACTCTGGGCCTGGGCACTGTCCTTCAGCTCTTCAGCTCAAGCCTAGCATTAGACCACTTGAGCCACAGTGCCACTCCCAGTTTTCTGAGTGGTTCATTGGAGGTAAGAGTCTCTTGGCCTTTCCTGACTCGGCTGGCTTTGATCCTCAGATCTCAGCCTCTTGAGTAGCTAGAATTACAGAACCAGAGCCACCAGAACCCGGCAAACTATTCTTTTATCTTTTTTTTTTGCAGTGCTGTGGATGGAACTCAGCTTTATGTAAGTAAATCCAGGGTCATGTACAAGGATTCTATCACTGATTAGATTGATTTGTAAGTATACAATATGTTTTCATCAAGTGCATTCACAATATTGTGTATATACAATGGTCTTTCGTGTCCAGAACTTTGGCATCCTCCAAGACAGACTGTGCCCCTCGAACTCAAGCCGTACCTTCTCCCTTTGGTCCCCACTTTCTATGATTCTGCTTATTTTTATTACATTTAAATGAAATTATAATCTTTTTGCATCCCATTTGCTTTCAATGTTCATCTGTTGTATGTAGCAAGTGTCCAGATTTCATTTGTTTTTACAGCTAAATACTATTCCACATTAAAAAAAAATCCACTGGCTGGGTGCTGGTGGCTCATGCCTGTAACCTTAGCTACTCAGGAGGCTGAGATCTGAGGCAGAAATGTCCATGAGACTCTTATCTCTAATAAACCACTCAGAAAACCGGAAGTGGCACTGTGGCTCAAGTGATAGAGTGCTATCCTTAAGCTGAAGAGCTCAAGGACAGTGCCCAGGACCAGAGTCCCCATGACCAACAAAAGACCAAAAAAAAAAAAAAAATAGGGCTGGGAAGGTGGCTCAGTGGTAGAGTGCTTGCCTTGGATGCCTGAGGCCTTGGGTTCCATTCCTCAGCACCACATAAGCAAAAAGAAAAAAGCCGGAAGTGGCACTGTGGCTCAAGTGGTAGAGCACTAGCCTTGATCTGAAGAGCTGAGGAACAGTGCCCAGGCCCAGAGTTTAGGCCCCACGACCGGACCCCTTCCCTCCCCCCCAAAATACATTGATCCCTTGATGGTTATATCCACCTTTTGGTGCTGTAAATAGTGTTTCTATGAACATGGGCATACATACATATAAACATAGATTATATACACATGTATGCACGTATATATTATATACACTACATACATATGTGTATGTATGTACACACATACACACACACTGAGGTCTTTCAATTCTTTGGGGCATATACAATGGAAGTGTTGCATCATATGGCAATTCTATGTTCAACTTTTTGAGGTACTGCCAGACTGTTGTCACAGAGGCCATACCATTTCATGTTCCCATCAGCAGTGCACAAGGGTTCTCATTCCTCTACATCTTTATCAACACTTGCTTTTTCTGTTTTGTTGATAAGAGCATTCCAGTGGACCTGAAGTGGGGTTTTACTGTGGTTTTGATTTGCATTTCCCTTATGGGCAGTGAAGCTGAGCATCTTTTCCTGTGCTTCCTGGCCATTTGTATGTCTTCCTTGCAGAAATAGCTGTTGGACTCTGCCTACAGTTCAATGTTCCTTTTTGTGTGTCTTAAAAAAAAAACTACAATCTGACATAATTCACATTTGGGGACTGGGCTTAGTGTTCTAAAATGCAGTGAGTCAAGCTGAAGTGAGAAATAAACTTCCACTCTGAAGACGCTTTCTTTTTAATGTTCTCAAAACAAAAAAAGGTAGTATTTTCTCAGGGAGAGTTCAGATCCGTAGAACACATGAAAGTCGAAAATTTGTGGCTTCTCAGTGAGAAGCGACTATCACTCAGGATCAAAAGTCTTTTATGAAATTAGAAAGATCTAGATTTATAGTTATTGGTGCTCATATTGAAGAGCTCAGAAAGCAGGGCTCAATCGTTTGGGGATACACGGGGTCCATTTACGTGTCTGGTGCCCCTTGACCTGGAGAAGCGAAACTGCTGGCCAGAGGAGAGCCCCGACCGCCGGTGCGTGGGGTCCCAGGCTCGCGGGAAGATGGGAAAAACTGGGAGCAAGCACCTCGCTCGCAATGCTTTCACCCGGAGAAACACACTGTGGAACCCACCGGCTGACCTGCTGGGCCTGTGACTGGTGGTGCAAAACACGTGTTTCCGACGGAGGAGTTAAAAGGGGGGCCAGATCCCGGGCTTCCTATCCCAGACGGGTGTCCAGACCTGGTTTCAAAATCGAGCTCAGTTCTCAACCGCAGGAGCCCGGGCCGCGCGGGTCCCCCAGGCTGGCGCATCTGGGCGAGCTCTCCAGGAGCTCAGGAGCCTCGCTCCGGAGGATGCTAGAAAGGGTTCCGGCCCCGGGGGCCTCCCGCCCGCTCTTTCGGCTTTAAGTGCCTCGGGCCCCGGAGGTAGAAAGGTCTTCGGGGAGGGGTGGGGGACGACGACGAGGAGATCCAACCACGCGAATCGGTGGGCGGGATGGCGGGCCGGGCGGCCTTCCGAAGTTCCGACCTCAGCCCTCTCCTTTCCGTTCAACATCTCAATTCAGTCCCCCACGTCTCCACACGGTTTACCAAACGAGTCGAGCCCGAGGGCCGTGCTCCGCCCTCACGGAGGTCCTCGAGTGTGGGATCCCGGGGCGCCGAGGGGCGCGGCCTTCCCACCCCGCGGCCGGCGCCCTTCCGGAGAGCGAGCGCTCGGACGCGGCGAGCCGCGGGCCGGGAGCCCAGTCCAGGTGTTGTTGTCTGGCCGCGGGCAGCTGCTGGGCCCTGATGGCCGTTGGGCGGCCAGACTTCTGACCGTAGGGTGTCAGGACATGGCGGGTTCGGGATCCTGGAGGTGGGGGGGGGGGGCGCGAGCCCAAGCCCCGGGCTTCCCCCGCCCCGTGGGGCCGGGGCGCGCCGCAGCCGGGAGCCCACCCAGGCGAGATCCCGGCGATCCCAGACAGGAAGGGCCGTTTCCTCGGTGGAGTGGGTTTCGCTTCTCGTCAGGGACCCGCAGCGGCGTGGGGGGGGGAGACACGCCGCGCCAAGTTCCCGCGCGCGAACAGGGGCGGCCCCGCCGCCTCTCGCAGCCGGGGCCCACAAGTGCCCCCTGCGGCCGGCCCGCGCCTGACCCCCGCGGGCCTCGGAAGGCGGCCGCGGCGGGAGCAGGGGCCCCGGGAGGAAGTTGGAGGCGCGGGGTCGGGAAAGGGGCTGGTTTGGCCCCGCGGGCGTGGCGCGGGGTGTGTGTATGGGGGGGGGCGCCCTCCAGAGTCCGGGCCACCCAACGGATGGCCGCGCCGAGGCCCGCCCGAGCTCGCGTCCCCCCACGTGGCCGGCAGCCCGGGACCCCACGTGGAGGGCGGACTCCCCGCGGCCGCGGCGGGGGCCCCCCCCACCCTGCCCCAGTGGCCGCGGGCCCCCGCGCCCCCCGGCCAGGCGAGGCCGGGGCCGGGGGCGGGCCGGGGAGTTGCCCGCCCGCCGCGCCAGCGAGCACTCCGGCGGAGCCACTAATCCCCCGAGAGAGCCGATTTGTAGTGAGGAGAAGCTGCAGGGGGCGAGACCGGCCCATGTGGGGTTGTGTCATTGGTTTGCAAAGAGAGACCCCGCCTTTGCCCAAAAAAAAGAGAAAAAAGCGAGGCGAGAGCCGGCCGCGACCCTCACCTCGCCTCCCGCCTCGCTGCTGCGCCGCCCGCGGGCACCGGAGACGCGGCCCGCGCCGCGCCGCGCCGCGCCGCTGCCCGGCCTTTCCTCTCCCTCTTCCTCCTCCTTTCCCCGAGGAGAAAACAAATAAAGAAGAGCAAATAGCCGGGAGGCGCAGGGCTGCCCAGGACCTTCCCTCGCGCTGCCAAGTTGGAATCCGCATCCTGCGGGGGTGAGCGCGGGGCGGGGACCCCCAGCGCAGCCCCCGCCCGGCGGGCGGGCGGGCGCGCGACCCGGACTCGGGGTGGGGGTCGGAGCGGGGTGGGCGGGGGAAGGGGGTGGGGCGGGCGGGGAAGTAGGAAGAGGCTCGGCGGCGAGGGGAGGCGGAGGAAGGGAAGCGAGGGAGGGGCGGGGAGGGAGGAGGGAGGGGGAAGGGCGGGGAGCTGGGGAGATTAAGTTTTTGTGTGTGTGTCCCTGTGTGCGTGTGTCATTTTAAGGTGGCTCGGGAGCGCCCGGAGGAGCCGGCGGCGGCCCAGGAGCGAGGGACCGAGCCTGGAGCCATGCCGCGCTGAGAGGGGGGGGGCAGCCAGCCACCGCCACCGCCGCCGGGTGGGGTGGGAGGGGCGGGAGCCGCCGCCGCCGCCTCCCGGGTGGGCGCCCTTCGCAGCGGACACCGGCGGCGCAGGACGAGGTAAGGGGGGGGGCCGGGGCTGGGTGGGCGCCGCCGCCGCCCCCGCCTCACCTGCGGCCGCGATGGGGGGGACGCCGTGCCCGCGCCTCACTGCGCCACTCCGGGAGGCGGAGGGCGAAGGACACCGAGCCGGCATCCGAGGACATCTTTGGTCCGCGCCCCCGGCCCGTGCCCGCCCCCAGTGGAGCGGGGTGTGGGGCCCGCGGCGCATGGGGGGAGTCGTCGTTCCCCCCCACCCCCCCCGCCGCCGATCGCTCCCGCTGGCCTCGGTGTGCGCCGGGATTTTTGTTGTTGTGATGAGAGTTGATGAATGCGAAGTAGGCGGTCACCTTCCTTCCCATCAGGATTGGGGAAAAAAAAATAAAAGGAAAGGAAAACCCGGAGCGCGGCGGCGTCCGGAGGGCAGCGGCGGCGGCGGCGGCGCCTCGGCGACGGTTTCCTAGGCGCCCCGGGCTCCGGCTCCACGAGCTCGGTAGGTGAGCGCGCGGGGGCCGCCGGCGACCCCGGCGGAGCGCGCGGCGCGGCGCGGGGACAATACGGCCGGATCTCCCGGGACCCGAAGTCCGAACACGCCGGGGTGCGGCGGGCCTGGTGCCTGCGAGGCGGGCGGGCGGGCGGGCGGGGGCGACGAGGAGGCGGGGGTGCGCGGGGAAGTCGGGGCACGCGTGGTTTCGAGCCCTTGGGGGCGCGGCCCCTGTCGGCCAGGGGATCCCGCGCGGCGCCCCGAGAGCGCAAGTGAAAGACCGGGAAGAAGGCGAAGCGGAGCCCTTTTGTTTTGCCGGCCCGGCATTGTTGGCTCCTCGGGGCAGCCGGGCCACATCTGCCGACGCCGTCACCACCGCCGCGCCGAGAGCTGCCCGCCAAAGTCGCGGCGGGGCGGGGGTCCGGGGCGGGCCGGGCGGCGGGCGGGGGGCCGGCGGGCGGGCCGGGCATTTCCTCTGCCCAGCCGCGCTCCCGCGGGCACCACTTCCTCCTCGCCGGCCGCCCGCCGCCGCCGGGAACCCGGCCCGCCCGCCTCGCCCGCCTCCCCCGCCCGGGCCGCACTTTTCGGGTGGGGCGAAGCCAAAGGAAAAAGTTTCGCAGGAGGGGCCGGCTAGGGAGCGCCCTGGGCGGCGGGACCCGGCTTGGCGCGGGGCCGACCCGGCCACCGCGGCCGCCTCCCTTCTCCCGGTTCTCCGCGGCGCCGGACCGACCCGCGAGGCCGAGGGAAGCGCCTTTCTTTCTCTCCCGGGTGTCCGCCCAGCGCCCCGGGCGAGTTGGGCCCGGGATCGCGGGCGCTGGGGCGCGCGCAGGCCTTTCTCCAGCCGCAGGCCTGGCGGCGTGGCCGGTCGCCCGCAGCCCACGCCGCGCCCCGGGGCCCGGAGGCCGCAGGCCGCGCGGAGACACCGCGCGCGCACCGCCTCCCGCGGCTTGGTCTCCGCTGGCGACCATGGTCGCGGACACGGGAGTGTGCGGGTGCGCGCGAGGGTTCGTGCCGCTCCCTCCGCACCCCCGCCCCCGACTTTTCCGGAGGCGGCCCGAGCAGCAGTTGGCTCCCGGGGACCTTACGTTAAGGATTTTAGGGGGGGGAAGGAGGAATGTTTCAAGAAATCGCGCTCGCCGGCGCGCTGGCTGGCGGCGCAGGCTGCTGGCACGGCCTATGTCGTCACGCCGGGCGCTCTTGCGCTGCCCGGGGTAAACAGAATATTCCCCCCCCCCTTTTTTTTTTCCTTTCAAGACTGGAGATCGGGTTAAGTTCTTAGAGAGTAAGATGCGGGTCGCTGGACGGGCAGACGAGACCGTTTCATTCTATGAATATACACTGGAAATTTTCCGAAGTGCTTTATTGTAATTCTGTTGGGTAATCTTAAAGAAAAACCTGTATATTTTAATCTGGTATGCGTAATTTTGAGAGGATCGTTTTTGTTGGAGGGGGACTTCACAAAGTAATTCTTGCTTCAAACTTGCACAAAAAAACAGTAACTACGGTACCACTTTTTCAAAATCCTCTGCTAGCTGTGAGATTTTCAGACAGCTTAAAAATCCCTCTTTAAGATCTCTAGGTTCCCAAAGTAGAACTAACTAGCTTGTTTTCACCTACGTAGGAGAATGTTACCGTTTTGGAAATATCACCATTATTCTATAATTTTTTTTTTATATCTCAAGGTAATGGGACTTTAAAGGACCTGGTTTTTATAGTCATTTTCAAAGAGTATGTCTTAAAAGCAATTACAAATTAGTATCTAAAATGCTAATTCAACATCTTCAGCCACTACAACTTTAATATTGAAGTAAGGCTTCTTTAAGCCTAGCTTGGGTTGTATGCTAAAGTTGAAACACTGAATATCCTTTTGTCTGGCCCTGACACACTCCTGGAAAGTCCCCCCAGTGCCCTTTTTATTGCCCTCAGAAGAAAAGTTAATGAGATGGTAGGTTTCTAGCAAGAAGCAGGCTCTCCCTCTTGCAAAATATGCTTACAGTTGCCATTGAAGTTGGATGTTAGCCGTGAATGCGCTTGCCTTTAATGAAGCCAGTGTAATCGTTCACACTTGATCAAGTAGAACATGACCAAACAAAGGAAATAAGCCAGCATATTTCTGTAGAGCACGGAGGTTTAGTGTAAGTGTTGGTGTTAGGTCTCCCCCTCCCCCCACTCCGCCCCTGTACAAGGCAGAAAGGGTTGAAGGCAAAGGGAATTTATGGCCCTGATTGGTTTTCTGTGCCCCAGGGGCAAGGGACCCTAGTTTACATCACCGTGGAAAGTGGTTATTAGAAAGAATTGAAAGGCTTTGGAGCTTGTTTTGAACCTGGAAAGGTACTTTTTGATTTCTTTTTCTAGTTTGGAAAGGCACTTAATCTGAAAAGGGTGAGTTGCCCACCCTCTTTTGGGAAAGGCACCTTAAGAGTGGAGAGAGGGTGGTGTGCTCTGCAGACTGAGCCCTTTGAGTTATTTATGATTTTACTTGGGATCTTTGAAACTGACCCTTGAATGGGTGTTCTCATGGGGGAGGGGATAGGGTGAATTACCATTTCTTAACTGTGATTAAAAAAAAAAAACACAAAAAAACCTTTTTGTCTCCCAAATGTATTTCCTTGCCTGGCTTGAGCTGCAGTTCATGTGCAAGATTCAGTTAGCAGCTTAGTGAAGAAACTTTTGCAAAGTAGGTCTCTTTAAAGTTAAGAAAATAAAGCGTAGCTACTGAAAAACAAACACTACTGCCATTGTAAAAGCACACCCGGGACATACTTTGAGATATTTTGGCCTTTTAAGACTTGGGCACACCTGTTCCTGTCCCTGCCTAGTTGAGTTTGCTTTCCCTGGCATTGTTAATCTGGCCCTGTACACCAGATGAAACAGTAAAACTTGCTAGCAGAATAATTATTAACTTGGCCATCAGTTACCCTTTCAGGGAATAATCAATAACTTCATGTTGACTTGGAAAACAAATCTTATTACTGAGACAGGAATGTGACTCAATGATCCAAGCATATAAGTAAGGAAACAAACAAATAAAGCGACAAAACTGACCAGCAATGTTCCTGGGGTTCTGAGTGGCTGTTAGGTAAGGAGGTGGTGTGTGAAGTGGACTGGATTTAAACATGTGTATTATTGTGGGGAAATGTTAAAATACAAAAGGAAAGGGAACTCGAGCCACTTACTCTTTTGAAATTCTTGTGTGTTTTTTTTTTTTTTTAAAGAAAAACTAAAAAGGGAAAAGGACACTTCTCAAGAAGGGTTCTGCTGAGATCTAGTACCAGAATTCCACGGCCGATAGATCACTGATATCATGAATGTTTTGAAGGCAAAATTATACCCTTTGTGCTTACTGCTTTCCCTAAATGAGGAAAAAAATGAAAGAGTTGACTGCAGCAGTAGAATGGTGGCCCCTGTTGTCTTTTTTCTTAACCAGTTGTCATTTCAGAATAGAGGGAAGTCCTGAGCTCCTCTGCTAACCATTCTTCTATCATCAGAAAGCAGGGTCGCGGTGTACCTTGGTCATGATGTGGGCCACAAATAAGTAGTCATACAACTCATGGTTAGGAAAGGAAATGGATCTGTTGGGCAGGTAATAGTTCCATTACAGAGGGCGGGACACTTTTGTAGTAACTTAAAAATGAGAATGTGGTTTGAACCTTCACAAAGATGACCTTTGTACTTAAATGACATCATTTGGTGAAAGATCTTGGGGGGGGGGGCTATCTTTATCTTATTCCCCAGGAATCTCATAATTTGCTAGCTCAGAAATACCTGCATCCACTGAAAAGTTTAGTAGGCCCCTGACTACTGGGATGGATTGGTTGCCCTGCCTGGCCAGAGAGATCAGTTTCCCCTTCCAGCTGGTAAGCCTGTCCTAATTTACTGCTGCAGGTTAAAGTTACAGCACCCCTGGAAAGAAGGGTGCAAAAGCTTTCTCACTCATATTTTGAAGCTACTTTTCACCGGTCTTTCAGGGTTTAAAGGAATATGTGTCAGACTTAGAAAAGGGATTTTTTTCCCCCAAATCTCTGGATTTGGAAATCGTATTTAATAATTGCTAAAAAACAAAACAAGTGAGTCATTTTAGAGGTGTTCAGGATCATTATTTCATGGACACTATCCAAAAGCCATCAATGTGATCCTAATCATATTCACAGATCAATATTAAGGCCAAATCTGGAGTTTGCTTTTAGCTGTCATTATTAATGTTGAAAGCCTAAATTATGGCTGCACTTGGGCATTCAGAAAGTTTGCCTGTGAAAAGAAGGGCTTTGCATATTGTGTAGGAAAGGAGGGATTCACAAGTGAATGCAGAATGTACAATGGAGAGAGAGCCAGGCCATTGTTTGTGAGGAATGTTGACCATGGGAGCCAAGGGGCAGTTTCAACTTCATTCTCCCAAACTGCTGGGGAGCTTAGAACCCGCCCGAGTTGCCCGAGGTATGGGAGCCAGCCTGGCATTCATCTGTCGTGGTTGGGCATGGAAATTTGGCCTGCTTCCCTTCCACAGTTTTTCTTAGAAGGTGGTCTTTCTGAGCTGCTAGGGAACGCTGTGCTTTCTCTTCTCAGTAAGATGCATTTTTTTGAAGAGAGATTCCAAAAGCAAATGGTAAGAGTTCTTCCAGGAATGTTTTACTTAAAAAAAAAAGTCAGCACCAGAAACCGTGGCATCAGAAGTCTCAGGAAGAAGTTGTGTTTATTTTTCTTCCTCCCCTCACTTTAAAGTAGTGCTTTCTGTGTGGTGTTAGGAAAAGTCACCCACAAGGAGTGTTTGTTGTAGCTGTGCCTTCCTTCTCCATTCCCACAGCCTTCCTGCTTCCTTCTGGGAGCTGAGCCCAGCCAGAGCCAATAATGGCTCCAGGGACGTGCATCCCCATAGCTTGCTTACTTCTTAGCTCTCTTCCACTTAAGTGGGAATGGTGTAGGTAACTGACCCTTACTGGGTCTGTTTCATACTGTATGTTTGATTAAAAAAAAAAAACAAAACTGGGCACACTTGTCATTACCTTATGTGGCTAGGCTTAGGTCTGCTTTCAGAAATGGTGTTTTAACTGTTTACCTAACTTAAATTTAACAGACGGTTCCCTGGAGTTGACTTGAAATTCACAAAAATGGTGCTGAAACAGCTGGGTTCTTGCTAACAGGACAAGGGAATTGTGATTTCTGTCCTAGGTAATAATAGAGCATTCATCCCTCCCCAAAAAAGTCCCATTGGTGTTTAGAGGAAGTTAACCTGAAAAGCCTGCTGTTTGATCCTGATGGTCAGGCTTGCCTTGGGTTCTGTGGGCTTCTTAATTCCAGAAACTTCCTGGTCTCTGAAAGCAGTGCTAGGCATCCATTGCCGTTCTAAAATTCCTTCCCATTTGTAAAATACAGAAATAGCCCCACCCCTTCAAGAACTTGATCCCAAATAGTTTCTTAAATCCTTAATTATGCCTTAAAGTCATCAGTCTTTTAAGATGGTCTGAGAGAGAGTGGTGGTGGACTCTGTCTTGTCCCAGGTTGAAAAAGGAGGGCTATGTTAAAGGCTGGGAGGTGGACGTGGGCTGTGTAAGGGTCTTTCTGCTGTGCCAGACCTTGTAAATTCCACTTAATCTAGGCTGCGCTCCAGCCATGCCTGAAATCTGGCCTCCAGCAATTTGTCCCAGCTCTGGACAAACAAAAACTACATTATTGCAGTCACAGAATCCCAGGAAGTGTATCTGGAAGGAACCTAGGCCTGGATCGCAGAGGTCAGCTTCCGATCTACTGAGATTTCTTTTTTTTTTTCCTCCCATTATGACAATTTAAAAAGCTTTCCCAAGGAGACTAGCAAAAAATAAAATTAGAGAATATATGGCCAGCATCTGTCCTGGAAGTGATAGCTTTATACCTGCTACAGGTGGGTGTGGAGGGGGTGAGTGAAGAACTTCAGTGGGGGGGGGGGGCCCTGGAGGTGAAGATAATTCACTTGGAAGTGGGGGGGCGAGGGCGG